CTTACACTGTAAATTAGGGACGGCTAGCGCAGATAGCTCTCGTGTAGCTTTGCGCGAAATTCAAAACAAAGAAATCCTTGCACTTAATGATACTGGAATATAATGGAACATGGATCAATATGAAGCAAGAGGACCATTCAGAAAGATATATGTAACAAGTCGTACCCAAAGTGTGGTATGCAAAATGCGGAATTTTATAATACATAAGAATTCACCAACATAAAGGCCAGTGTCAAAAGCCGTTCACATGACACACGTAATCAAAAAGGATCTTTCACAGCATATCCATTCAACCGTCGCACACCGTAGTTGGAGAATGAAACAATATTCTATTCTGAGACATGCCAGTGCAATCTGGCTGATGTAATTGGCACTAAGAAACCATCCTTCTCCTACAATGAGTGGCTCATGGATAGTATGCAGGGAATAGGTATACTTTTAACACGACAACCTTACAACAGATCCTTTTGCAATGGAAACAATGCCGCAGGGCTATTGCCAAGATGTATTTTCATCAGATAGAGCATGGCCGGACATGGCGACATGTACTGCAACGACGTGGTGAGGCTCCAAAATCATTTTAATATAACGTACTCATCCTATATATATATAATAATAACCATTAAGAAATTCTTTACAAAATCCATTGTAAATCCCAGTCGTCACCTTAAATTCATAACGGATATTAAGGTGGTTTCATTTGACTTCTACTTTAGGAATTATATGAACTTTTAAGGGTAACTGCCTATCCACAACTGGCTGCAGACAGTGACAGGCAGTAGGAGTTGAGACGTTGTGGTTGTAAGCACTCAACTCCTTACCCTTAATTGAGTTTCCATGATTACTGGCTAGTTTAACATCAGCGTTTGGATGTTGTCTAGTAGATGGGATATCCCTAACGCATTTGGGAGTTATTACCACAGGCAATATCTGTTTTGCCCGGCATGGCCATGTAGTTAGGGCGCTCGACTCTCAATCTGCAGGTCGCGGATTCGAATCCCCGTCACCCCAAACATGCCCGCCTTTTCAGCTGTGAGGGCTTTATAATGTAACGGTCAATCCAACTATTCAAATTCGATGACGAGGAACCCACTTTGAGTCTAATAATGGCTGGAGACGGCTTGAATGGGTAATGAAGAAAAACTTTAATATAACGTTGTACATTATATTAAAGTTTTTCTTCATTACCCATTGAAGCCGTCTCCAGCCATTATTAATCCCACTATTCGTTGGTAAAAGAGTAGTTCAAGAGTTGGCGGTGGGTAGTGATGACTAGCTACCTTCCCTCTAGTCTTACACTGCTAAAGTAGGGACGGCTAGCGCAGATAGACCTCGTGTAGCTTTGCTCGAAATTCAAAAACAAACAACCAATATCCGTTATGACTTTATGGTGACGACTGAGATTTAATATGGATTTTGTAAAGACCTTCTTAATGCTTATTTTATATTAAGTTCATTATTGTTTTATAGTGCTGATTTTAATCGCCTATTAACAATTAATGTAATTGATTGTTCTTGTTATTTCTATTATCAGAAAGCAATAAGATCAGAAAATATTATACATCCAAATCCTAGTAGAAGCAAGTCTTACTATTTACACATAGATAGTACTCAACCTTTGTACTCTACACGGCACACTTAGCTGTACATATAGCTGCTTTCTAGAAGACAACTGTCATTTAAGTATATTTTTTAAGAAGAACATCATGACCAAGTGATCTTCTCGCTCAGCAATAGGCGTTGTTTTTAGCGAACAAATTATTTTATAATATTTCTTACAGTTGCAAACCAACAATTTGTATTAATTTTACGAAGGGTGTTTTAAGACCCAGTCCTAATCTTTCTTACAGTTCAAACCAACAATTTGTATTAATTTTACGAAGGGTGTTTTAAGACCCAGTACTAATATTTTTTACAGTTGCAAACCAGCAACTTGTATTAATTTTACGAAGGGTGTTTTAAGACCCAGTCCTAATATTTCTTACAGTTGCAAACCAACAATTTGTATTAATTTTACGAAGGGTGTTTTAAGACCCAGTCCTAATCTTTCTTACAGTTGCAAACCAGCAACTTGTATTAATTTTACGAAGGGTGTTTCAAGACAGTTTTATTGCCACAGTTATCTCCTGTTTACACCTACAATGTACTTTATTTTCTTTTTTATTTAATATAAAAAGGGTGTTGTTTTTTTTTTCAACTAACTTACCACGAGGGATATTGAATGAATCTCGGACTTTTTTAATACCCCCATGAAAAGAAGAAACGAAACTACCCCTCTTCTGCATCTCCTGGAAGGCTTCTCGATATAGCAACATCTCGTGCTTCTCAAAGAAATCAACGGTACTGGTGTTTTCTACACAGCCATACTCCATGTTGGAATCATGCACGAGTTCCTCGAGTGACGACACTTCTGTAGATGTACATAAGCGTATCATTGTAAGAAAGAGTTACGAGCTCGTGCATCTCAAGAACAAAGCTTGTTATTTTTTTATTCCCTTCCAAAACGATAGAGAAACACGTTACCTTTGTCTGACCTCTCCACTGTCATGACGGACGCTAGCTTAGCTGTGTAAGCTGACACCAGGACGATTGTAGATATCCACCAAACGGCTAGGGTAATACGGGTGGGAAACTGAAGACGCCCTGGATCAATACTCTATTGATATCGATAGTAAATCATTCAACAGTTAATACTCATTTAAAACAATCCCATCTTGACATACAATTTCTAAAGGTACCAAACCATTCTTTAAAATTATATTTTCTTTTAAAGAACTGGCAACTGGGACTGGTATTCGAACCCACTTATGACTGATCGAATTAATAGATATTCCAACTACATTACCGGGTTTCGAATACCTCACCTTGTGATTTTTCACTTCGTTGCTTTAAAGAAAGACTTCAATACTTCTGACATATTCCGCTTATTTCGTTAATTTCAGCTACCGAGTGATCAGAAATGAGTTCAAATCCTGCCTGCTCACTTCTGTACAAAAACTACACGTTCGCTTAAAGCGATAGTGCTAGAACTTGTTGGTTGAAGACCTACGAATAAGACAGTCCAAACGTTTTGACTAACCCGTTTTTTTTTCAGCAAACTTCACATCGTGCCAAACAAAGAAATAATTTTGTTAGGATAAATGTTCTCGAATTTTCTTTTCTTTTCTTGCGACTGCTTCCCCTACGTGATAGTCTTCAGATCACTCTAGCATATTTTCAGTTATATAATCACATGTATTTAATTATTATAACCAAACATATATTTTACCTGATTCACTAACGAAGAAAATCCCAGCCACAGGGCGTGAAATATTCCCATTGGAGCAACATTCAGCTCTTGGCGTATTGCGCAATGTTTGCGATGGTCTTTCAACATTCGTCGACGTTGAACGCCCTCTGGTGTACAATTGCTGCATATTACAAGAACCACAGACGTGCCACACAGAGCCACTAATATTACTGCCCACAGCAAAGGTTCAAATGGTGAAAGGAATGCGAAAACATCTTTCTGGACCGCAGGATTGTAACGAGGTATCAGAATGGTTAGTCCAAGGTCGAAAAAGGGTTTTGTGAATGAGATAACTTGTTGACGTTCATAGTTTATGGTAAAGGCTCCAAGTCCAACATCTGCCCTCTACAGAGAAACAAACAAACAAATAAAGTTGAAAACTTCAATATTGCCTTTCAGTTTATGGAGATCTCGTGTTTATATGTTCATCGATTATTGTCTCATGTTCACACACTTTACTTGTGATAGAAAACAAACCCTTCATTTGCTCAACATCTTAGTTGTGACAGATAGAAACTTAGACAAACCCTTCATTTACTCAACATCTTAGTTGTGACAGACAGAAACTTAGACAAACCCTCATTTACTCAACATCTTAATTGTGACAGACAGAAACTTAGACAAACCCTTCATTTACTCAACATCTTAGTTGTGACACACAAACCCTTCATTCACTCAACATCTTAGTTGTGACAGATAGAAACTTAGACAAACCCTTCATTTACTCAACATCTTAGTTGTGACAGACAGAAACTTAGACAAACCCTTCATTTACTCAACATCTTAGTTGTGACAGACAAACTTAGACAAACCCTTCATTCACTCAACATCATAGTTGTGACAGACAGAAACTTAGACAAACCCTTCATTTACTCAACATCTTAGTTGTGACAGACAGAAACTTAGACAAACCCTTCATTCACTCAACATCTTAGTTGTGACAGATATATAATGTCAGTCATATAAATTTTTCATTTTCACGAAAAAGCTTAGTATGGTTCTCTAATCTTATAGTTTTTTTTTACTCTTATGAACATCATAAAGGTAAGAGCAAATGAGTGAAACATTTTATAACATTAAGAACTATTCATTAGAAAACAATAAAGCCATAATTTAATAGAAGAGCGAAACAAGACTGATAACAGTAGGGATATTTCAAGTAAAGGTTACTAACAATGAAATAACACATGCTTTTCAATTAAAGTGTTGAGTGAATGAAGCAATATTTAAGGGTTTGTCTAAGTTTCTATATATATTTGTTCTCATAGTTGAAATGGGTTCAAGAACAAATGTTCTTGTCTTCTGTGATGTTATCCACAAAACTAGTAATATGGTGCGTGTGATTTTCGATCAACTAACAAATACGCAGTAATAGTGTATTGTTTAAGTCTCTCAATGCCTCAAACCGGTGACTTTCAGCTTCAAAATTTAGGCTTTACTGGCTTAAACTCGCGGTTCGATCCCCATAGAAGGCACAGCGCAAATACTTCTTATGCAGCCTTATGCTTTGTAAAGCATCTTTACTTTGGGTCCCCTCCTCCCTCTAAGCGATTCAACTGTAAGCTTGTGGGCTTATAACGCTAAAAGTCGATTTCGATCCCCACGGTAGGTACGTCGCGGATTGCCAATTGTGCAACTTTGCGCTTATAAAAGAAAAACAAAAGCACCACCTGTCTCCCATCCATCTCAATATCAACCTCACCGGGGTTAACTTACCTCTTCCATCAGTTCTTTGACGAGCCCGCTCCAAAATCCAGTCTGGTGATCTTGACGACCGTAAGTGGCACTTAGCGACACAGTAAACTGAAAGTTTAACATTTCTTGCAATCTCAACAGTAGGTCTATACAATACCCAGTGTAGCGAAGGCTGTTCGGATCATCAGGTTTATAGTCCGGGTTGTCCACGACGAAAGGAGCATCCTGAGAACAGTATCGGTAATCTCCATAATTATATCTTTCTTACGCTGATAACTAATTAACTTAACAACTTACTATAATTAAAGTGCAAAAATAGGCTTAACTTGCAGTAGTAAAACAGAGAGAGAAGAACTACAGAGTGAAAAAATGTAAGTGACTTTAGACAAACAGATGAAAAGACAGAAAGCAAATATAAAGAAGGATAGAATTAAAGATTATAGAAAGGCAGACGAGACGCGGGAAAAAAATCGAATAAAGAAGGCGTACTTTTACTGTGACTACACGGAGAGTCATGTTAGACAAATCGTAAAAACTGTCCACGGGAGGATTCAAGGACTTTCCTGGAAAGACAGCTTTAGTGGAAAGGTCCAACTTTGAAGACATGTTTTCCAACTTCCACGTTCCAATCTGAAACAATAGTTCATCTCTTTGGTTAATTCTGTTC